ATTGAGAGAATTTTCTGGATTCGATTACGACGAAAATGACAAGGCGTATGCAAGCAAATGCGAATATATTAAAAATAATTTGACTGAACGTGATTTGGTTTCAATTTGTATTGTACTAAATATAAGTTATTGTGTTAAAGATGTACAACTGCACATATTTCGAAATCTACGTAAAAATTTTTTGTTGTCCGAAAACGCAAACGACGATGAATGTAATGACGAAGAAGGAGATGAAGAAGTCGATGATGATGATGACGAAGAAGGAGATGAAGAAGTCGATGATGACGTTGACAGTAAACGCACTTTCAGAGGCAATGAACGCGAGTTTAAAAAATCTCGTGACGATAATGGCAATAAAATGTTTGAAGTGGATGATAATAATAAAGCAGCAGCGTACACACGTACAAAATTTTTACAAAGAGAAGCACCAAAATTTGCAATGAACTTTCGCGATATAGAGGACTCAATTAGACCATTTGATGGCACAAATATCATTTCGGTAGAAAGGTGGATTGAAGAATTCGAGGAACAAGCTGCACTGATGTGTTGGGATGGGTTTCAAAAACTAGTGTTTGCAAAAAAATCTCTTAGAGGCATTGCTAAACTTTTTATTTTGAGTGAAAGAGGTTTAAATTCGTGGTGTGCTTTAAAACACGCCCTGTTAAATGAGTTTCGAACAACAACAAATAGCGCACAATTGCATAAGCAACTTAGTGCTCGCAAAATAAAAAAAGATGAAAATGTGTTTGAATATTTTTATCAAATGAAAGATATCGCATCTCGCGGCAATATCGAAGACGAAGCGCTGATTCAGTATATAATAGATGGAATTAGAGACGGTTATGTAAATAAAATGATACTATATGGTGCAAAGAACCTTAATGAATTTAAAGACAAATTAAGATCATATGAAACAATGTGTGAAAAAAGTAAGCAAGTTAACGATTTTAAACAAAGCGAAAAGAAAAGTTTCTCAACAAATAAAACAGAAGTGAAATGCTACAATTGTGGTGAAAAGGGACATTTGTCCATGAATTGCAAAAATAAAAATCGAGGTACTAAATGCTTTAAGTGCAACCAGTACGGACATATTTCTAAAAACTGTGAACAAGCCGAAAACAAAATAAATACGCGCAGTTTACAGCAAAAAAACAATTTAACTACCAAATCCATTTTTATTGGCAATTTACAGTGCGCAGCCCTATTCGATACAGGCAGTAAATTTAATATAATTCGCGAAGACTTATACAACAAGTTGAATAAGCCTATCTTAGAAAAATGTAACGTATGTTTAATTGGTTTCGGTAGTGATCGCAATTCAAATAGGATTAAAC